TGAACACTCAGGAGAGAAGATCAGTGACATTAGTTTTGCAGAAAGAGCTTAACTATTAATTAAGCTCTTAACTAATAGTTATGTGAGCTTAACTATTATTCTCTAACCTGAATAGCAAGCACTAAAGTATAGCAAGAGGCCAGCTATTGCTTACCAACCATGTTGCTTGAGTAGTTAAATCCCTACAGAAGGCCAACAGACAACAGTTGTACAGTTTTCCAAAGAAAATTTGAAGTCAAAAGCCACACATCCCATAAAAATCAGGATATTATCTTTGAAACACATTTAAATGTCCTTCTTAGGACAGAATAACCTTCTTAGTCAAACATCTCCATCTGGTCAACAAGACATTAATGATACAAAGAAACTCACCTAATTTGCTTCCCTTTAGTAGGATGTCATCTAAGAGAATGTACTGTCCTATAAAAGCACTTAGAAGTTTATCATGCCTAGCCTCTAATTTTAGTGTGTGACCTTGTCCAGACTGTTGGGTGTGTGAGCATCACTAAGTATAGCCAAATAAACATGTTTAAAAAAAAAAAACAAAAAACTATCATCTGGTTGGTCTCAGGCTGGTTTAATGTATCTCTCCTACCAAACTAGCTAGAACACAAGAGAAAGGCAGACATCTGAGTATAGAAATAGGTTATTGTTGTAAACTCTTAGGGTTTTTTTTTTTAAGGGTTTTTGTTTGTTCAGGGTCTCACTGTGCAGCTCAGACTCGCAGTGCTCCTCGGGTTTTCAGCCTGCCTAGTGCTGAGATTATAGGCGTGCACCACCACACCCGGACTCCATCGTGAGCTCAGCATGCCAGGGGTAGGGCCGGCATGGCTCATCGTGTCAGGGAGAGAGCCCCGACTCCTGCGCTTGCCTAAGCAAGCAGTGAGTCTGCTGAGCTACCTCACCAGTCCTTAAACTTTAGTTTTCCATCTTAGAAGAACTGTACACCTGGAAGACATGAATGCATTTAGCTCACCACAAAATTTCCAGCAACAGATGTCATAGCCGTGTGGCAATTTGTCTCTTCACTCAGCTTTGTACCAAGAGCAGCTTTTGACAAGAAAACTTTATTGTTTTACCCACAAGAAAACTTAACCTCTCAACAATAGCCAGTAGTAAACATGCTACAATAATATGCTCCACGACTTCTCTTGGGGTGTGTCTCCCACAAGGCTAGGGAAACTACTAGGATCTCATTAGCAAAAAAACACTAGAAAAAGATTTCAAGGCAGCTACTTCTTCATTCAACAAAGGACTCCCTTTCCAGCAGTTTTCTTAAAAGGGATCCCCATGAAATTATCATAGAAGAGTTTTGATGTCCTACAAGAACTAGATCGTAACACCTGACGTATTATGCTTGACCAATGAGAGATTTCCGAGTTACAGTACACAGACAACAATGTGTGTTGTATTTGTAAAACAACTCCTGACATCAGTTTGATCAGTTGATAACCTGATGTTATCATGTCCTTAACTCTGATGATATCTGTAAGCCAACTTAAATCATAGACAAATATTTTAATAGTTTAGAGCATTAGGAAAATTGTTGGGCTCAAACAAAAACAGCAATAAGTACTATAACCAGCTACAACTAACCAGACAGACAGACAGGCACACATAAGACAGTCATTGACAGAGCACACTCGAGGGCTGCTGTGAGGCGATAGGAGACAGATAGAAATTAAGCTGGTGCCTAATTCTTTCTTTTCTGCATATCCTGCTGGCGAGCCCCGTGCCAAAATCTCTCACCCCCTGGGACTGTGTCCTTCAGCACTGGTGCATGTTCGGCCCTCAACAGTGCCGACATGAATGCAGAGGGCAGAGGCACTCCGATGCCGTCTCAGAACTGGAACTGTGCTGTAAGAAAGGGGAAACGTGGTCAAAATTGCCTTGTGTTCAGACTTTCTTTGCATTAAAGAAATTATCTTCACTGTGCTTAAATGCAAATATAGGGCTGGCCAAACAGCTTAGAGGATTAAAGCACCTGCAGGCAAGCACAAGAGTGGCGGTTTGATCCCGGCTCCATCCCTGGGGCGCACTGAGATGGCGACTGAGACTGGGCGTGGTGACGCGTGCCTGTAATCCCAGCTCTTGGGAGGCTGTAAACAGGTGGATCACTATGAGTCCGCTCTAATAGTGAGACCCTGAACACCCTGTAAACCCTTCCCTAAAATATAAAATTTAAAATAAAATGCAAATGTGAACTACGGGAGAACCGCTGGGTCTTAAAGCACCTGTCTGCCTGTCTGCTCAATTTGTGACTGGCTCTAATACTTAAAGCTGGTTTTGTTTAAGCTCTGCAAGTTTTGCTTCTTTTCGCCTTTTTGAATTTTAAATATATTTGTCTATAACTTTGAGGCAGCTTAAAGATACCGTGCATCCTTCCAGGTGACCGGCTGATTGGAATGATATCGACAGTTTTTACAAATGCAGTACGTTGTCTGTGTGAAATAATTGAAAAAACATCTTGCATTGGCTAAAAATAATGTGTTAATTGTTTTGATCTGATTTTCATAAGTCAATAAAAATTGGTTGAGATAACTTAATGGGCAATGCGTCAGGCTTAAGGAAGTTGCTGGACAGGGCGCCCACTGGTGGAATGGAAGCAGCTCACTGGAAATATTTTCTTCCAGTCTGGGTTTGCTAATGAGACCCCAATACTTTCCACAGCTGTTTACCGGGAGACGCATCCCAATAAACACTGCTAAACATAGAACACATTATTGTACTATGTTTACATTTACAATTATTGTAATATGCTTAATTGTTGACGTAGGCTAAGTGTTCCGTGAATAAAACAATAAGGTTTTACTATTAAAAGATATAAAACTAAGTTAAAAGACAAAGATTTTCATGCAGGTGTAACCTTTATAATTGCTAATTTTCTAATGTATTTACTCCTTCAGGGCATGCAAGCCTTCTACGAGGTGAAAGCAAAACTATTCATGGAGATCATCTTTCCTTTTGGACTCAGGTATCTGCCTTTCTCTTGTACTGCAGCTACTTCCACTAAGACTTCCGTGAGGCAGGGGGATTGCTGTGAGTTCAAGGCCAGCCAGGGTGGCACAGTGAGCCCTTGTTTAAAAACAAAACAGAATTAGAAAGCAAGAGCAGAAATAGAGGCTGGCCGAGGAGTAAGGTCCTGGCCATGTCTCCCCCTCAGTCGCGGGCTCAGGGTAGAGGAGGGCCTCACTGCCTGTCCTCACTGGACGCCGATGAGTCTTTGGACTCTGAGAAGAAAATAAGACCCTGCAGACCCCACTCTTGGGGGGAGAGCTGAGTGACGGCCAGCAGTCCAGTGGAGACCACCTCGTCTGAAATCTTCGTTTTCCAGGTGAGCACACAGAAGCAGGAGGGACGCAGGGACGCTCTCAAAGCACCTACACACTGGTGACCTTGTTGGCGGCCAGCATGGGTTCTTATGTTTAGCAATAGAAATCAGAATTAAGGACAGATTTGCAGGAAGAGGCATTAAGTGCAAACACTGGGAAGGGGCTCAGCTGGAGGAGCTGACGCCCAGCAGGCTTGCCCTAACAAGGGCTGGAGGCTTAAAGAATTCCTGTGAGCTGGGGCCTGGTTTCCTAGCTCCAGCCCCTCAGGCCTTGACAGTGGTTCTGCTCCTGGGAAATGATTGTCCCTGCCTGTGCTTCTCCAAGCACCCAGAGCTCACAGGCCCAGGAAGACGCCTGGAGGCTTCTGGACGTTCTGGAAAGTCCCTGAGAATCCCTTATCTTGGTCTTCAGAATCTAAATTCTTCAAAGGTCATGGTAATTCAGAGCTAATCTCCTCCTTTTCCCAAAGTTTAGATGACACTCCCTTGTGCAGAGCTGAGAAGGAATCTGACTGAAAGGTTTACAGTATCTAAGGTGAAATTAGAGGCAAGATCTGCTCAACTTATATTTATCTATTGGGCATTGTAGGAAGAGTTGGGTAGGTTTTTTGGTAAGCAAATCTGCTCTTGCATCCCTGACTGCCTGAGGAGAAATAGGTGAAAGGCAAACCACACTCCTAGTGCACCACCCACTGAAGGCCCAGCAGCGGTCCTGCCCCTTTCCCTCCAGGGTTCTCTGCTTTGTGGATTCTGTAAGCTGCTTCCTGTAAGGCTGGTCTCGGGCATGGGAGTCCTACAGCCCGGCACCAGGCTTCAGTGGTAGGTTTCAGTGACTGGGGAGTGTCGTCAGGGGCAGTTTAGATCTGGTATCTTTCTGTTCCTTTCTGTGGGGCTGGGATTTTTGAGACAAAATCTTGCTAATGCATGCAGGCTGGCCTCAAACTCACTGTGTAGCTCAGCCAGGTCATATGCGTGTAGCACCCCTGCCTCTGCCTGGGGTAGTTGGTGTTGGCCACCACTCCAGGTGCTGTGACACTTTCCAGGTGCCAGCTGCCCACCTGTTCCTCCTGCAGCACATGTGGTCAGCAGCCTGACATCATAGATGGGAACCAAGACACGGTGATCGGATAAGGTTGGAAAGTAGCCTGTGTGTGACCTTTGCATAAAATGGGGGTGAGGCTCAGCGAGGGAAGGTAAGAGACAGCCCCAGCCCTGCCACCCATCGTGGCTGGAGGTTCTTCTAGGGGCTGCTGCTCTGGAGCAGAGGGACAGGAGCTGGGAGGGTGCCCAGGGGAAGCGGCTGCCTCTTTTAGGCTCAAGTACTGGCCAAGTGGTTTTTAGGAACAGAAACAGGGTTTAAATCCTTCCATTTGTAAACTAATAAAATAAAAAAAGGTTCCTGCTGACCACAGAACGCTATGTCCTCCCCACGCCAGGACACTGCCCAGTTGCTCCACAAGTTCTGGGAAGAGCTCACTGTCACCTCCTCCCTGAACCCCACTCCACACAGCACCACCCACAATGATCCCGCCTGCCCACAGCCACCAACAAAAGAAAGTCCCCGCCGTGAATGCAGCCACAGGGCAGGTGGTGTCACAGGCCAGGAGCACCCAGGCGTAGCAGCAGCAGAAGTCGAGCTGTATCTTGTCATTCTGACAGTTGGTGACTCTGAAGCCCCGTCTCCATCACCTCAGAGGAAGCTGAGCATTTCCTACTGCCCGAGACCTCGAGCCCTCAGTGAAGAAAGCCGCTAAGAGGTCAGCCCCTTGGAGCCAGGTAAGTGGGCCTTGGCCTTTCTGTGCTGTCTCCTGCTGCTGCTGTGGGTGACCCTGCTCAGACACGGGCTGCTCAGGGCTCCTCAGAAGTGGGCATGCTCCAGAGGCTCTGGCGGCATCCGTAAAACAACTGGGGCCAGCGAGTGTAAAGCAGGAGGTCGTGTGGCGTAGCACCCAATAGCCGAGGGTCCTGGGAGAGCTAGGTGGAATTGTAATGCCTGTGTGCTGATCCATCGGACCCTGGAGGACATGAGGTACTGGAGATCTGCACAGGGCCTTCGCACAGAGTCACACAATAGCATTTTTATTTTTATTTTTATTTATTGAGACAAAGTTTTGCTGCATTGCTCAGGGTTCCCTAAAACTCCGGGTCCTCCTGCCTCAACATCCCAGAGCTCTGGGATCTCAGGGCTGGGTCACCCTACCCTGCTAAAAGGTGTTTCTCACATGATCGCTTGTTGGAGACTGATTCAGAAAGCCAGCTAGCCAGAAGGGACAAGAGGTAACTTTCATGCAAAGTTATTTAAGAACAAATTACTCATCAAATATCCTCCCTAAGGAAAAAACAAGGTAGTGTATGAAGAAACTGCAGCAAGAGGGAAATATGAGTTAGGAAAAGCAACGCAGGTATGAGGAGTTTGCTGCTGAGCCGATTTCCTGAGATGGCTCAATGGCTTGTAGCATCCTGGTTGACCCTGTCTGTGTGCAGGGACTTGCAATGGAGGACATC